GGATTATATTTGGAGCCTACAGCCAGTAAGACCCTTTTACCAGAGCATGGGTCCTGTTGTATAGAGCCCTGCACCCAGCCAACTTGGCACTTGTTTGACAGCCCCCCTGCCAAAGACACCTACTTATTATCACCAATGATTCCTCCCCATTCTTCATAAAGGCCACTTGTGTTGTCCAACACAAGGGAAACACTCTGCTTCTGCATGCATAGCACTTGGGTAAGACCGAGGGCAAGTTGTGTTGTTATTTCAACTTTAAATAGACGTTTAGACCTTCAGAGAATAAGTCACTTATTGTTTTTACACTTTTATACTGAGTTGGCAAAACCCAGAAAGCACTAAGTTCTGAAAGCTGCCATGCAAGTATGACTCAGATGTAACCCAAATAATAAGAAATGACAGCAAAATGTATAATTCCACTTATTTTGTTTCTCTGGTTAAATGGGGAGATTAGTACGGACTAGCAAAAACAAAAGAAATAAAAACAGAGGTGATAAAAAGACAGATGAAATGTCAAGGCCCACCACAGGTATATGAAGTTCTTAATAGATTAGGTTGGACTTAGAATATGAGCAGATTTTCCATTAGGGTTCAAATATAAACTAGAGGTACTCTAGAGAGTGCTGTCCTCTGCTAAGGTCAATGCCCCAAGCCCTCCGTTTTTAAAACAGTGATCTGGAGCTGTGCCAAAATGTAATGGCCTCTTCTTTTGGCAACTCTCTAGATAACTGGAGCATTGCCAAATTCAGTTATCTGTGTTTCATAAAACTAAACTTTGCAGTTTAATTGTGCTGAACAACAAGTGAATGGCAGTGAATACAAACCTCATGCCTTTGATTTTTGTGGGGGAACAAATGATCCATTTTCACGAATATGCACAAATCACTCTATTTCTCATGTCCATAATGAGCATACTGCCGCCAGTAAAACTCAGTGTAGGATGGTACAAAGAATGTGACTTAGGGGCTATTAACTTAAGCTAAAGCTAATCGTTGTCAGGAGATAGAAAACCTCAGGGCTGAGAGATTAAACTCATTGTTATTGTGTTCCAAAGCAACTTTAAAACACACATAAAAGAGTTCCCACAAAACTGTTGATTTAAAAAATAAAAAAGTTTATTTGAGTAAAACCAGAGAGAGCTACACGGTCATTTCAAAGTATTATACTTCATCGGCCGCACGGATTGATTCACCAGTGTGGCTACTCACCATAGAAATGTGTGGCCGGTTAATATAACTTGCACAACACAGAATGCTCAGTGAGGTTAAAAAATGCCCAGAGCAACCATCAAGGATTCATTGAAGCGGATGAACATCTCTGTTCATGAGTCAGCCAAATGCAAATGATTGAACAAAGTGTCTGTGGCAAGACACCATGGAGGAGGTTTTGTTCTGTTTGGCTTAAAACTAAAAAACACTGGTTTAAAAGGTTAAACGGAGTGACGAAACAACCCCCTAAAACCCTGAGTCAGAGCATGACAATATTTTCCAAAGATGCAGCTTTAACTTTCTGGGTTATGTTGCTGAACAGCTTGAAGAGAAAACATATCCTCAAAGATTAACATGGTATCTTTTCACAACGATGTCATGGTGGCTGTCAGTTGAAGCCGAGGTATGGGAGGACAATGGCCCCCAACACTTGAATAAATCTATGAAAGACTGACAAAGAAACCCACCTTTTATGCTCATCGGTCCATCAACAAAAAGAGTCATCTCAGACTCTTTTTGGTCTAACATCGAGAATGGCATGGCAAAATACTTCATTGAGGTTCTTGTTGAGAAGTGTTCGCACAGAAAGTGGCAAAACTTTTGAAAGTTACACCTGTCTAAAATGAGCCATCAAAAGCTCCTCACCAAAATATCTGGGAATTATCATGCAAAACAGGATTTATTAATAGAAACACTCTAGTTTCATTTTGCAGTTGGTTTGTGGGTCCACTTGAGCAGGCCAATCATATTTGAGCCTGGTTTTGTCTAAATCAGGTTAATAGACCATGTTGTGAGCAAAAGAGCCTGAGAACAGCCTGATATTGATCAGCATGCAAAGAATCACTACTGAAAAAAATGGACTGGCTGGATATTTTATGGGTACAATGGAAATCCTCAAAATGGTACATTGCTCCCAGAAGCCAAGACAAGGACAATTGCGAATGAGTCAACAGAAAGAGGCTATCATACTATGTAATTACCCCGCTCTATCAGGAAATGCTTTCCAACCCAGTTTGTGCACCTAATTTTAGACGGTTCTGAACATTTCAGCCAAAAATAACATGGTGACCAAATGGAAACTAAAGTAGCTGAGATTAAACAGTTGGCAACACCAGTGCCTTTGGGTTGGAAAGAAAAGAAGAACCTCATTCTCTGCTAAGGACTAACTGATTTTAATAAATTTGATCAAAACCGGGGAGGCAGATCTGAAGACAGTGCTGAGTTCCAAGAAGTCTGAGTGGTTCCAGCGCAAGACCTTTAGTAAGGGTTTCGACACAAAGAAGACGATTGTCCTGCTATGATGTGATCGGATTAATGGAGAAGATTGTTTAGTTAATACTAAACTTGTTTTCTTGGTGGTTAGCAGTTAGACATTCCAGCAAGTACAGGTCTTCTGTGATTTTAAGTGGTGTAGATGTTCTCTTCTAATGTTCCCATTCTGGGACTTGATAAGAAATTGACACATCAGTCTGGCAACAGAACTACATTTTCACAAAATGCAAAGTGTTATTTAGTTCCCTGCTCAGGCTGATGATGATTTCTCAACTGCCAAACTGCATGTAATTCGTTTTGATCTTTTATTTGACAGGTCAACTCGAAAGAGCCAAAGAACCAGTAGCCTCACAAGATACATATCCCTACCAACTCATTGAAGAGTTAGATATACTTCTTGGACAGGTGTGGTCCCAGAAGGTTTGTGCTTAAATTAAAACTGAAGCATGACTTTACTTTCTGTGTTCACCTACTATCTATGAAGACTGAAGTAAATTTGCGACTGAAAGCACACGTGTTCCTGTTCCTCAGACTTGGGCTATATTTGCCTGCATCCTTCTTTCAAGTCTGAAATGCCTTGAGCCCATTTTAAATCATGAATGTTGATCACTAAAAGACATAAAAAGGCCTCTTGGTTGTGTCTAATTTCATGTTGATGTTCAAGTCAGAGAGTGAGACAAGCAACGTGTTTGTGAACATTCATATTTTTTGTAAATAGCTAAAATTTTAGAGGTCCAAAATTATTTTTAAAAGGTATTATAAGCAGTAATGACAAGTATGTTGGCAATATGCATTTAAAAAAAAACTTTTAGGGATGGAAACATGATTATCTTTAATCCCTTCGTTTTTCTGTCCAAAGATGAGAAGTAAGATGGCTCTATCAGTGAGTAAGGCGCAATTAATGTGGTTTAAAAGTACTATACAATGAAATATCCTTGTCTTTGAGAAAAACAAAACTGTGCTTTAAGTTTACGAGCAGCACTTAAAGGTAACGCGACTGTTTCTTCGAGGCTCCTGAAGAGACTTTTGATTGGCTGCCAGTGACATCATCTCTTCTCATGTTTGGGACTGGAGGCAGTCCAGGCGACCCCCCCCCCCCCCCCCCCTTGCAGCTACACGGGCACGCGGCGTCGTCAGACCCCTCCCTCCGCGGGGCCGGACCTCGCTGCACGCGCTTGGGTCCTGTTTAATATTCATGAGCTCGCGCATTGGCTCGGAGTCGCGTCGATCCCGTTGCGCGACATCTGTAGGCTGGCAGACTTCCTTTCAGTCTAATTTCTGGGGAGCAGGGTAAAAGTACCAAAAAATGTTGCCGATCCTCAGCGCCGGGACGGACTGAATGGAGGCAGCGCTCTCAGTGAGTGGAGATCATAAATCCGTCTACAGCCAACCGTGACACTCACCGGTAAGAGCGCACATACGACAAGTTTGGGAATCAGTGGTGCAAGTTGTTGAAGAGCCTAGTCATAGGGACTGGTCGTGGATCTATAAATAATGAATATGCATATAAAAACCCCGTAACCATTTGTAAGGGTTTGATTTATTGTATTTATTTAGATTTTCCCCCCTAGAGGCAATCTCCCTACTCGTGTTTTTTTCCCCATGTGTATCCAGATGTATCTTTTAACCTTTCATTGCGACAAAGTTCGAATTCTTGTCCTTAAAAGCAGCCATCGAATATCTGATTTGTCTTGCTCGACCAAGACATGCTGCTGTGAAATTGGATTTCCTTCAGTCTGCTGCTCATCAGTCTCCCCCCTGAAAGCCATATCACATTCACGGCACGTTCTCATGCCGGTTTCTTCAATGAATCTGCCCATGAATGATCCCTGCGTGGACGATTTTTTTTTTCTTCCTGAACCTGCACCGTGCCTAAGGGATGGCAATGCCCGGGACAGGCAGAGCTTGGCGGGTGTCTTTACATAATGTGCCCAGATAATATGCGTTTAAAATCCCTTTGATCAATAGGAATTGCACCCCCCCCACCCCCCCCCCCCCAACCCTCCTCCTCCCTTCTTTTTGATACCCTGACTTTACATTTGGGCGAGAGACAGAGCTGCAGTGTGGCACTGATGCAGTATTTTATCATTTTTTCCTCCCCTTTCCGTCTCTTTGGGTCAGACGGAGCGGAGTTGGGATGTAAAAATGAGCACCACAGGCGTGTACAGTATCTGGGGGTGATTCACGTTGATCACTCGCCCGGTGATTCAGTTACAGGACGCTCTCATATGATTTCACTGCTTATTATTGGTGGCCAGTCTGTCACTCTCACATTTTTTTTGCCTCCAACTAGGGTGTAGCTCTGCAGGTGTTGACAGTACTAATATTTGGCTTAAGCCGACGTTTTCTAGTTTGCATGTTGATCCGGCAGGCTGTTGGCTGGGCCTGCGGGAGCTAACAGCCTCCCGTGGGGGGGAGTGGTGGATCCAGAGTTCACTCAACCAAAGCTGAACTTCTTACCTGCTTCTCCACAGAGCGGCTTGTTGAGTTCTCCATAGACGTCCAGCCCTCGGCCTCCCCATGCCTCCTTCTCCCCTTGACGACAGAATTGTGGTGGCGCTGCCAAGGCCGATCCGACCTCAGGAACTCCAACTGCGCCTGGACACCAGCTACCTGGACTCCATCACCACCACCAGCAGCAGTAGCGACGCGGTCATCAGCACCACCGTGGTGAAGATCCGGGCGACGGCCAATCTTGTGACGTATATGCCCTCATCCAAGGGCTCCACGCGCTCGTTGTCGTGTGGGTGCAGCAGCGCCAGCTGCTGCTCTGTGACTACCTATGAGAGGGACAGCCAGAGCCTCAGCCACAGCCCCGTGAGCGCCAGCAGTCCCAACCTCAGCTATGCTGGGCCCCCGACCCCAATGGTCAGCAACCACGAAGCGCTGAGCGCCCCGAGCCTCACCCAGGGAACACCGAAGGCCCTGTCCACCCTGAGGGTCATCCACCCCAATGAGCTGGCCAAGCGGATGGCCTGCTGCCCCATGGGTCACCCCGTGGGGCCCGTGCCAGTCATCATCGACTGCCGGCCCTTCATGGAGTACAACAAGAGCCACATCCGGGGGGCCGTGCACATCAACTGCTCCGACAAGATCAGCCGGCGGCGGCTGCAGCAGGGCAAGATCACCGTGCTGGACCTCATCTCCTGCCGCGAGGGCAAGGACTCCTTTAAGGGCATCTTCTCCAAAGAGATCGTGGTTTACGATGAGAGCACCGCCGACCCCAACCGGCTGACATCCTCCCAGCCTCTGCACGTGGTGCTGGAGTCCCTGAGAAGGGAGGGCAAGGACCCCATCATCCTTAAAGGTAACTCTACAGTAGGCGTTTGATCGTTTTCAGAATCACAGACTGAAACAGAATGACGGCTTCTCTTGACGCAACGGACGAAGGGCCATGATTTATCGTAACTTTTTGGCTCTGAGGGGACCAAATTGCATTGGATGTCCGAAAACAGCAGCCAACCCGACCGAGGTTGAAGCTTAATGGCGACATGAGCTGACGTGAGCGCGGTTAAACAGTGCTGTTTAGAGTGTGTTAAAAGCATGTTAACCTTTGACCCTTATCGTTCTGGTCAGCTGATTCAGTAAACAAAGCGGTTGCAGCTTTATCGGCCCGCCCGCCCCGTACCGAATCACCACGGTAGTCATGATACGATGTAAAACAGTTATCCCGGCTGGGGTTGATCTGCTTGCGCCCTGTTCCTATCGCCCTGATCACTCTCTTTATCAGCCTCTATGTGACACGAGTTGAGTCTTTTGCAGGAAGTGAGAAGCAGCTGTTTGCTAATAGAGTCTGTTGAGATGGCAGTTCTTGGTTGGCCGACGTGGTTTCCATCTTTGGATTGCCCGCCGTGTTGGGGGGGTTGGGCTGTGAGATCATAGCAGCCTCATCCTCATACGTTCTCCCCTCTTCTCCCTGGTTCTCCCGTGAGCTTCTGGTGGACACAGCTCTTCACGTTCTCCTCCTGCACTTGTGTCCGTCTGAAGCTCACTCGGGGGAGGAGGAAGTCAAAACAGTGCAACTCGTCCTTAATTCAAACGAGATCTAAAAGCTCAGGCTTTTCTTATTTCTGAAAACAGCGACTTTTTCCCCATTTCAGCACATTTTCCATTGGAGCCCGCATTACACGTATAGATAGAGTTGCTGATATTTCACTGTAAACCTGAACAGTCTAGTGGCAGAATGCCATTTTTTCACTCTAATGAATAACTTAAAGCCTGTTTTTTCCGCTGCATATTGCCTGTCTCCATAAAAGCTTTAAACTTGTTATTGTTACATGCGTTAGTAGTAGTGACATATCTGGAGCATGCTTGCATGAAAGCTGCTGAATAATTTAGCCACACTCCACGATTTGCTCAGTTACCAGCACATCTTAGTCATGACTGACTGTAGATATGGACGTGGGGTATTGCTCTACTCCAGCAGAAACACAAAAGCTTCCATTCCCACCGCTGATCACATTCAGTCGCTTGAATTTCCATCAGCAACATGTCAGTAGTCTTTGAAGGTTTCTAGGCGGCTGTAGAAACAACAGGCCTGTGGTGGGAGAGGCTTTGACAGGCAGAAACAGTAGTTTTTGAGCGGGAACTGAGCCGGTGGCTTATGAAAGCAACAGAGACACTTCACATGTTTTCCCTTGAGAGTTTAGTCAGAGATAATGACAGCTGGTCACACTCGAAAGACTTCATCTCATAGCAATATAATGCTTCAGGAGATTCTGCCCTCAGTTAGCTAAGAAAGGTGTTATAACTACGTCTAGTTTAATCATAGTAAAAATATGTGTATTCGGTTCGAGCCGGACAAGTTTTTACTGTTTGATACTTACTGTTTAAGTGGACTTGATCATGTTAGTAACCAAAAACACGATAGCAGATAATATTCAATTTCCAGTATTAGGACATGAGGAGTTCTGACTGTTGTACACACGAGAGCAGGGCTATTTTTAGCTGTCCTGTTCAACATTTAATTTTTTGGGGCCAAAAACAACAAAAGCCTTTATGAATAACTTATCATTAAGCATTGCGCTGGCAACAGATAACGGTATATTGTGTGTTCCTGCTCATGTGATGCATGTACAGGAAAACATGCTTTCCATTTAGCCTTTAATGTGCTGAATAGCTGACTCTGATGTAGACCTGCACTGTGGTATTTTATGGTATTTTCCCGTGAGAATACCCTCATGTTGATTAGTGGGAATAAAACACGGACAATAACAAGCTACACACAACTTTGCATTGAATTGGCGTGTTGTAATAATTTTAATGGCGGATCCTTCCCTAGTGGCAACCAAAAGAGATGGATATTGAATATAGATGCCTTTACAATCTGTAAGTAAGCAGAATTTTCTTATTCGCAGCTTAAGTGAAGTAAATACGTTGCCATTATTTGATATTTTTGATTTATCATCAACGTGTTACTTGTGATTTGAATGATTTTAATGGGTCTTCTTCGGATTTACAGCCATATCATAGCTCAGATTGGGCAGTGAAAGAAAGAAGAGAATTATTTTCCATTTCAGTGGAAATTCCCCTTTCTCTAACGTCTTTTTAAGTTTGGTGAGAGAACTCCTGTGAGCACTTCCCTTTCTTTTATTTACCAATGTGTCATTATGAGCACAGACATCCCATTAGATCCAGGAGTCGGCCACCATTACCGTCCTGTGTTTGGGTTGGGATCTTTGTTAATGGTTAACAATTGGCCCGTTTCACGATGAAAACACAGTGCAGCCGTTGACAGGAGAGTCCCACCTGCTTCCCACTACGGGAAAGTTGTAAGGCTGTGGGATGACCTCACATGACATGATGTCAGCTCCTCCGCTGTGAACAATACGAGAACTGATACTCAGACTCCTCCCACAGCTCCGATGGTGAAGGGAAAATTTGGCCGATGGCATCACTGTTACAAACAGGTGCAAACCAGTTATTTGGAGAAGTGCAGATGCCCAGTGAGAAGTGTGTTCAACATTCAGTCTGTTGGTTCACTGGCACATTAACAGCTAAACAGATGCACCTGTGTGTTCACGAGCCAATGGGATCTGTCTGATGAGCCACTTCTCTCTGGTGTATTTTGTTGATAAGGACAGATAGTGCTGGTCCCTTTGTGTTTGTCGCTATCCAAATGGACGCATTCAAAACAGTTCCAAATATATCAGCCAGTCAGGTGACTGGAGATTTCTCTAATATTAAAGGGGTTCATAGGTCGTTACAGCCAGTTGTTAGTTTTATCAGATGTGTATGCAAAGCTTAGCCGTCCTGCTCAATGGTAACATGTGGCATGTGCTAGTCAAAGGCATGAGTGCATGTATTTTTAGCATAGATGGCTGCGGTGGCAACTGAACCGTTAAACCACACTGTGCTAGCTCCAAACTCCATCCACTCCCACCACAGTGCTCTGCTCTGTATGTAAAAAGGAGACAGGGGTGACTGAAATGGACGCAAACGGAATAAAAGAAATGGCGTTTGACGCTTGAACACGTTCTTGAATTGTCACCCAAACGCAAAGTGTTTGCTCCCAGCTTAGTCTGTGTTTTGTGCCTTCCCAGGAGGCCTTAGCTCCTTCAGGCAGACCCACGAGAACCTGTGTGAGCACTCTCTGCACCGGCACGAGGGCTTGGACTCGGGCGCCGTTGCCGGAATGACTCTACCTCACTCCCTGCCCTCCACCCCGGACATCGAGAACGCCGAGCTGACGCCGATCTTGCCCTTCCTCTACCTGGGGAACGAGCACGACGCTCAGGACATCAACCTGCTGCAACGCACCAACGTCGGCTACATCCTGAACGTGACCACCCACCTGCCGCTCTACCACTATGACACGGGCCTTTTCATCTACAAGCGTCTGCCCGCCACCGACAGCAACAAGCAGAACCTGCACCAGTACTTCGAGGAGGCGTTTGAATTCATCGGTACGAGGGGCTGGCATTGGTTTTGAGACAAACTTTGAGATGAAGCTGTGCTCATGTGCAGCCTGCACAACATGGAGCTATTTTAGAATGTAGTTTAACCCTCATTTAGTCTGCATTTAATTTCTTTTTTTTGGGAACTACATTAGTATTGTCACCAGGGAACATGTTTTGTTCACTTAGTAGGCTTTTCCCAACATTATGTCCCAAGTTTCTTTATCATTGTAACAGTTATTGACATAGACCCACGTGAGAGGTTTGTAGGGAAAGAGATAACTCTCAGATATCTGCAATGTGACCATGATTGCGCGCTGGTTTTTAGTAAGCTTCGTCGAGCCGAAAAGGTCTGATTCCAGTGGTTTAATATTTTACAGAATTCTGTGCTTAAAAAGTTTATCTTATCCATTTTGTGAACTCTTCGTCACAGCAATAACAAGTGACTAAACCTGCCAGATAAGATCCGTTGAGTATAGACGACATCATTTCCCCCTGAACTGTAGAGGTGTGGAGGTATAAAGTCGGGAGTCTTGTTTCATAACAAATGGAACTAAAACATAATTTACCTCACAGACACAGATGATACATTAAAGGTGAAACACACATTTTTAAAAGTCAGAAGCAAGACAATCTGTATTGACACTGATTGATCTGTTGAATCATCATTTTGGGCTTTTTGACAAAAAAAAGTCCAGGGTTTAGTTCTCGTGTGATAGATTGTTATAAGTGTTACAATTTAACAATTAGAGGATTAAATTAACATGCGGACAATCAGTTCTAAACCTGGGCAGAAGTACAGCATGTAGGGCGTAGGCAGAGCCCATGTAGACCGGCACCTCTCAAACTGACCTCTGTATCACTAGAATTCAACTTGTTTCCTTTTTTTCATGAATTGCTTTCCTTTATCTATTGATAAACCACGATTACGCCATGTTATAAGTGCTTATCGTCAGAGCACAATTGATCTAAATGAGTTTTGGCAAAGCTTTTGAGTGTGCATACTGTTAGCGGTGCAGACAATGGATGGATGGATGTGGAAATATGGATATTTGATATTTTTATCTGACCATCAACCCATTTCAGTGATGAACGTCAGATGGGGGGTGGAAAACCAATGGAAAGTTATGATCAGAACTTTGGTGCAGAACAAAGAAAAAAAGAACACTGGCATTTGATAAACAGCCCTTAGAAAGATGCGTGGCCACAAAGGAAAGTGTAGTACTTTAACTACTTTAATGACCTTCCTCACATAGGGCAAAGCATTTGTTTAACTCTACTCTAATTGTTTCCACGTCCCTTTTTATAGAGGAAGCACACCAAGCGGGGATGGGCCTTCTGATCCACTGCCAGGCCGGTGTGTCTCGCTCAGCCACCATCGTGATCGCCTACCTGATGAAGCACACCTGGATGACCATGACAGACGCCTACAAGTTCGTCAAAACCAGGAGGCCCATCATATCCCCAAACCTTAACTTTATGGGCCAGCTGTTAGAGTTCGAGGAGGACCTCAACAACGGAATAACGCCACGAATCCTCACGCCAAAGCTCATTGGTGTGGAAACGGTCGTCTAAAGGTCTGAAAGGGCCCCTCAGTCCGATGCTCATGTTAGCTCTCACTCTCACTGTTTTTCAGCCAAGACTGGCCGCCTCCTGAGCCGCTTTCAGTGTGTGTGAGAGAGGCCGCGTGTTTGCGCTGAATCTCGTCCCGATCTCGGACTCGAGAGTGCCAAAGCTCTGGGTCAGCGGTGAAGAGAAATGCCAAAAATCCCTACTGTCTGAACCTGGCGGAAGTCCCAAAGGAGTCAGATGGAGGGGGGAGCGGTCAAGGTTTCTGTTTGTGACCGCTGAGTGGTGAACACGCCACAGAAGAAAAATCAATTTGGAAATGATATTTTCCGTGCTTGGGGGCAGTAAATGACAAAAAAGAACTCTCAAAGCTCACACTGTGGCAAGCAGTTTATGTGTGGAGACTCAAACGGGGGTGGCCACGGCAGTGCCTGTCTCAATAAAAAAAAAAGAAAAAAAAAGATGAAGACTTTTTTGGTGTGTTGATGTTGTTGTTCTATTTTTATACAGGGGTCTAAGGGGAATGACCATGACAAGCCCACACTGGCTTACTGTGCAATAATTTCAGAGTGGAATGCAACTGAGACATTGATCTTATATGTGTATATATCGCTTATGATTATGAAACATTTCCAGCTCTTTGCTGAAGAACCATTTTGATGTTGATGTAATTATTGTTGTTAAGCTCTATATGTTCATGGTGCGTCTAGTCGTGCTGTAATATTACCCAAAAAAGGGTTTTTACTTTGAGTGCAGCTTTCTGGTTTCATGTCTTTTGAGTGTAGATTTGAATTTTCAGCATTTGCTTGCTTATCTTGGGTTTCGCTATTTCTTCATCCACGTATATTTTTAGCAGTACACAAACTACCAGAGAGCCAAAAGAGCTCTTTTTATGCATGGCTGTATGTAGAGGGATCATTGGTGAATATTCTAAAACAGGGCTACTGGTAATGTTTAATGTAACACAACGGAGGATTTTCACTGCCTGCTTCTGTCTCTTCTGTTCGTCTTCGCTCCACTTCATCCATTAGCCGGCTCTCTTTTACTTGGACTAACTGTGTTACCTTCCATGTCGGTCTACATGTGTTTTTGTCAACTCCCTACATTTTGAGCTGTGGTTTAGCCCATTTTAAGGTAGCGCAGTGTGGTGTTACGGTGTAAAGCGGAGCGGCCAGAACCTGGTCCGAACCGCCTCCCAGTAGGTGACTCACCACCCTGCGGCCGGGTGGGCTCCTCCGCCTTGCACACAGTAGGCAGGCACTGCTGTCACATGCTGCTCCAGTGCCTCTATCAATGCCTTAAATCGCCAATCACCGATGGGCCTGTGCATGGCACAGCCTCACGTGTAAATGAATAAACAACTCACAGAGGGCTCGTTTTCGCTCACAGACAAAAGCTTTGTCTCTCAAATTACGCCTGAAAATCTGATCTTGAGACGTTTGAGGCACCAACTGAGTGTCACCGTGAATTGTAACTAAAACTAGCACTAAATGTACTTTTAGAAACATCATGTAAAGGTTTAGCGTAACCCCGTTTTTTCAGTTTTGCATACTCATCACAATATATGCAGACTGATTTGAAAAAGAAAATCAAAGGTTGAAAAATAAGCAAAAAGCCCAGTTGATGCGAAGCTTTTTTGGGTGATGTTAATTGTGAATGACATTAATGAACCGTTACCAATATATCAAATTATCGGTGTTGAAAAACTGGCAGATGTAGTACTTGGCAAATACATTTGGTTTATTAGTTGTAGTGAAAGGGGAAAATCGTTCCAGGCAACTAGCTTTGAAGGCACTCGTTTTGGCATCATCGTCTGCTTAACTGCTGTGGAGCTGCTCGGATTGTAATGAAAGTAACCACATCTTTCGTCCATTTGGCTGATAAAATGTCAATGACCAATGATTAGGCCCACCAAAGTATTAGCCTTGCTTATATCAGATATTTACATTGTTGGCACCCATGTTTCAGATATTGTTGCACCTGTGAGGTTTCACACATTTCCCTCTCAAACCAAAAATGTATTTAATGATGAAAAAATGAACCCAAGTCTGTTAAGCATTTTAAAACTATTTCAATATCAGTGCTGTTGTCTGAAAGCTTTAGTTTTCAAATGAAAGAAAGACTTGTTTGAGAAAGAGAGCCATTAAACTTTAATCTAATTGGTTTGATTTGATAAACTCAAGGAAGTTTTGTCTTGATGCACAACAAATCTACTGTATTTCAACAATAGTTAAATCCTAAAGTTCAAACCACAAACAAAGGACAAAGATTGTGGTTTTCCCCCAGGTGACTTGAAGCAGCTTCCTCAGAAATGATTCTAGTTCTGTTTCTGTTCATTGTGTTCCTCTGGCTCATGTTTAGATCTCCATTTTAAAGTACAAAAAGAAGCACAGGGCTGTCAATGTTTCATCAAAGTGCCAAAACTGATCTCTTTTGCAATACACCCACTGCTAACCATTATATCCTTAAAGTTCAACCCAAAAGTTGAAACATAATCGATCTGTTTCTGTCAGTAGGATGAATGTGAATACAGTTTTTCTTCATGAACTATATGCAGCCAAGTCGGCTTTTACAACACTGAGCCCGGAAGTCCCCTATGTCAACGCTCACGCTATGCAAAACAAAGTCGTAAAAGGTTATTTTTAATTATGACCAGATGTAACTTCACAAAACAAGTGGTGCGGAGTTTGAAGTGTTTCTCTGTGACAAACTAAAGAAAGAGCTGCCCTGTTAATTTCTATTTCTTTTTGTTGCTATTGTCAATGGTGCTTCACAGTTTACATTAATAACCATTTACCACACCTTGTGCTTTTGAGCTAAAAGATAAACCATTTACAGAAGAATAAAAATATTAAGAAGTGCTTATCATCTGAGCCAGTGCTATAGATAAAAAGAATCTCTTCATTCAGAGCTATCCGTTCCCACAATCGGAGTAGCACATGGCTTTTTTCCCTCTCCATTTCTTATTAAAACGATCTATTAGACTGAATAATGTATTTTTCTCTGGACGGAGATGAAGCATGCTGCGTGCTCCAGCTCTGTGAAGGGCGCTGGTCATTATGGTGCTGTCTTGTCTTTCTTACACTGCTTTTTCTGTAGAGGTCACATCCTAGCTGGCAGCTCCAAAATACACCTGCTCCCTTTTGGTTGGTTCTGAATTAGAACAATATAAAGCTGTCATGTCTGAAGTGCACCCTTTTGGACTGGACTGGACTTGTTTAGGAGTCTCTGCTTTGGGCTCAGAGGCTCTGGAAGAAACGAGCTTCGCTCTACAAGTCTCTGTATATTTCTCATGTCTGTAGTCAACAGTCAAGTATTTACAGTATATAAATATCTATATATATATATATATATTTTTTTTTTTCTTTGTATGCATATATTCATTACTATTTTTGCACTGACCTCTGGACAGATGGATTTATTTTTTTTCCACAAAAGGTGCTACTATATTGGAGGCCTTCTCCCACACCTTTTTGCATGACTTGCTCAAAATTCCCCAATTGATCTGTCATCTCTCCTTCTCTTCTCCAACTGCTCCTTGAACTGTTTCAATTGAAGCACTGTAATTTTGTAATCCCCACTTGTGAGCTTTGAAATAAACGGGGAGGCTTCAAATTTCGGTTTTGGTGCCTTGGAAGCTTTTTTTGTCCTCATTTTCTTAGTTCTATAGCTGCCCACAAAATGGAATGAGTAACAAAAATTTCAGAGGAAAAATAATTATTTTGCTAAGAGGAATATTTCAATTTGTATCTTGCGAATTTACTTATGTTTTCATGACCATAGAATGGACCATTCTTATCTGGAAATGGAATGAGCCCCTTTTACAAACAAGGATTGCCATTTTACTGCCATAAAAGGCAGGAGTCTATGTTGAGTCTGTCTTTTTTGTCATTTCCTCACTTACTCACTATGTTATATAGAGTCAGAGGGGAAGGGGCAGACAGCTGCTAATGCAGTTTGCACTCTTCTTGATCTCAGCGGTTTTGATTGCTGGATAATAATGTAATGGATATTCACTGTTACACCTTGCAAAACAAAGTATATGTTTTTTACACAAAAAAATATGTTCTTAAGCATATGTAAATTTGTATATGGTCAAATCTGAAAAGATGCACAACTGAAGTTGCTGTTTTTGGTTGAGAACACATTGTAATTAACAGCTCTTTCTACTGTGGTGACATTACTAATAGTTAAAACCTTGCTTTGTATTCTTCTTTGTTGCCTCATGCTGTAATTGATAATAATATTCAGTGCACTGATAGGGAATTCATGTTTTTTTAAAAACATAACAGATGTCTCAGGAGTCATAGTGGTCCATTGCAAGCAGTGCTACAACTTATCCCGAGCATGTTTCTCATTGTTTAACGTGTCCGACTTTGTTCTCCGCTATGGTTCCTGTACAAATGCTATCAATATTTTTAACTGTCCACAGAATGTTGTCTCTGTACCAGCAGTTCTCTGTAGGTAAACAAACAAAAGCTGCTGTCGTAGCATTCTCCGTCAGCTCCTGATATAGTGTTCTTCTAAAGTAGTGTAAAAGTTTTGCACGCCGCTTTTGGGGCACCATGTGATGAGTTGATTGTGCACTTAATGAATAAAAAGGTTTAGTTGAATTGTTAAATGGCTGGAATTTGGCAGGGCCTTGAAGGATGAAAAATAAGAAAATAAAAAAATCAGTCTTAAAACCATTCTGATGCTGAGTTTCTGTTGAGAATATACAATAAATATTCAGAGGATATAAAAATGTATTTTTCATTTACAACTTTTCTAAACACTGTTTAGCGATAAGTTAAGAGGAAATGCTGTAGGTGGCACTAATTCTCTGGTCAGAAGTGCAGGAGAAGCATCCCAAATAAGTCGTGCACCTAACATAAAGCTTAATAACAGACAGTATAGTGCACAAATCAACACTAAACTAATAAACTATGTGTAATAAACTAAGCGTAAGCGTAAATTATGAACTGAGGCCCAAACTGTGCCTAAAAATTCAGCCCTGTTGATTATATTCAGCAAGTGTTACTCAACATTCATCTAAAAAAATTGTATGACATAATTATTTATTAGGAAATGTAAACAATGAAACATCGGTGAGTTTAAACACCCACATT